AAGAAAGAAAGACATAATGAAAAGCTTAAGATAAATGATTAAGAAATCTCTAAATAAACATAAAAGGTGAAGACTTTCTCCTCCAAATCATTCAAGAACACAAAAGATCCTTATTTTGCACAAAGGATAAAAGAAAGGAGGAAAAACCTTAGGGTTTTCGTGTTCTTAAAACTATTTATAGAAGAAAATAAGTGTACTCGGGTCAACCCAAAACATACCGGGTCAAACCCGAATTTGTGCTGGATATGTGATTTATTTGACTAGTTTGTGCATGTTGGACGGACTGGAGCATGGCCGTAGCTCTTGTCTGCATTTTGTCAGATTGACTTGTCTGAGTGAAATAGGGAGGTGGGTCGGCCCAGACGTGTCCTGCACCTTGGTCCGAGTCGTTTGTCCGACTGAAATAAGCATGATGGCTGGTCCAATCTTCATTCGTCCATAACTTAGCTTTTCTCATCTCTTCTTGGTTGGTCTTCAACTCCCTTGGTTCCTCCATCAAGCTAGCATCCAAAAGTACCTATTTGACATGGGATATGCATTGCAAATGCAAGAAATAGAACCCAAGACTCTAAGACAAAACCTATACAAAATGAAGTTTAAAATGCATAGAAACATGTAAAATATGAGCTTAATGTCTAAAATTGCTAAGTAAAACATGTGCTAAGGATGCATAAATACGTGCACATCAGAGAAACAAGCAACCAAAGCTTTGGGAGTGAGGAGAAAAATTGGTTGTAGCTCGTTTTGGGGTTCACGTATTTAAAAACAATCAGTTGTAGCGGTTAGTGCTCCTTTTAGGGATTAGACCGCCTTTTGTGACGTCACGCGTCTCTCATCTTCGAGGACGAATCCTTTGGAGGAGCAAAACTCCAAGGCAATACAAGATCCTATGGTTGAGGGACATAAAAGTTTCATTTTGACAAACGATGGATGTCTAAACCAAATTTTGAATAGATTATCTGAATTGTTGGGGTGAGGATAACACCACTAATCACCTAAGCTTAGGAGATCGGATTAAGCAGTGTCGAACAATTATCTCCCGGTGGCAGAAGCGGGATCTGCAGCGCTCCTCAGAAGTGATTGTTGATCTCAAGTTGGACTTGGATAGCTTCAAAGTGATGATTTTGCCTCCGTGGAAGAAGTGGCATAAATTTATGATCAACTACGTCTTGCATCAGTTGATGAAACTGTTTTTTAGCGCCAGAAGAGCCCGATAATGGGCTTGCGTAGGGGGGCCAAAATACCCAATAATTTCAGGGGTCCATGAAACAACAACGAGCTCAGAAACGTATTACTTGGATTTATACGTTAAGTGGCACATGGACGGAGAAAGAGGCTGAAATAGAACACACGGCAGTTAAATATTTCCAAGATATGTTCTTTGCTTAGGTGGTGTGTGACTTAGAAACATCACTGATGCATATTCCACAGGCAGTAACAGAAGAAATGAATAAGGCCCCACCCGGGCACCATCCGCATCAAAAGTCAAGGCTGATGTTTTTGGTATTCATCCTGAAAAGACATCACGGCCGGATTGTATGAAGGCAGTTTTTTACCATATGTAGTTACTATGGTCCAGGAGTTTA